TACATGTTATTAGCTAACTGCATGATTTTTACTGTACATTTCTGCCATATGGACATCAACTTGACCACTGATAAGCTGTAAATATGTAGAAACTTTAATTTTCTGTAAAGCTGTTTTGCAACGATTTGTATGGTGAAAAGCGCCAAATAAACTTGAATTGAAAACTAACTTTACTACGGAAGCCCGATCTGAATCAAAAGATTCATGAACCCGCTCCGAAGTCCCGATCTGAATAAAAAGATTCACGAACCCGCTCCGAAGTCCCGATCTGAATCAAAAGATTCATGAACCCGCTCCGTAGTCCCGATCTGAATCAAATGATTCGCGATCCATTTAGTGCTTTCGAAACAGTGAATCGTTCTGTGACGCAATGGTTTAACTGATTCCTCCACGGAATAAAAAAGGTAATTGCGACTTTTTTTTATCCCCCTCAGAATTCTGAGTTTACATTTCGTTTACATTTGAAAGATATTGCGACTTTTAATCTCAGAGCTCTTTTGAACTGCAAATCTGTAGTTCTGGCGTTTCTCCTCAGAATTGTGTTCATGCTTCTTGCTTCTCCCCTTTTTACATTGACAATACACAACGATAATTTTTCAAATATTTATTACAATATACTGATAACTGATAAATTCACTTCAGTGGTATGAGAGACTGGATGCTTTCAACTGATTTCTATTGAACTGTCAGCAACTGAACTGCAGCTCAAACTATTTCAAATATAGTGAATGAAGCTACAAACTCATATTGAGTCATTTACGCTGGAACCGCTCCGATTGATTCAAATTCAAACTCGTGACTTCGATCACTGATTTCAAGCGATTCATTAGCAATAGTTAGTTCAAAAGAGCCATTTTCGAATTTCGACGTTGCTTGTAATGATTTTAAAAAGCACGTCTAGTGATGGGTGAAACTTTTTTGTGTGTGCAAGATACAAGTAATTATCTAAAATACAAGTACTTATCTAAAATACAAGTAATTACCATAGGCTTACAACAGTGATTTAACAAAACACGGTTACAAGATGGTTTTATGAGTACTCTCTTTAATATAAATTATTCAGACCCCACAGATTTGCAAACATAATTACTATGTTTATAGTTAAATTTCATGAACTGTCAAGAAAATCCTAGTCAAAAATCAAAATAATAAAAAAACTTGCAAAGCTTATTTTTGGCATCATGACATTTTTTAAATGACAATTAAGCACATTTAAGCAATTTTCAGTTGCCTTCTGTAACATAGGGAAAAAACAAATTTTTACAAATGTACTTTATAATTTAAACGTCACATGAAAGTACAGTTTTGCCGTACGATGTACTGAATTTTATTTGATTTGAATGTGAAAAACAAACATTGATACTGGGTTGAAATGTGACCTGTATATTTATGAGATTCATAAAGTGTCTTTCTGGAATATTTGCTCCAGGCACAGGGTTTGTGCAGCGAAATGGAGCGCCATCTGGTGGTGAGAGACTGTAATGATTCGCACAGACATCGAAGGATCCAAACGAAATACTAAATAAATAGATTATGCTTTATAAAGAGAGTTTGGCAATGCTTTGTTTTCTGGAGGAATAACGTTGCGTTATAATCGTAAACACAAATGTGAGATGATTTCTGATCCGTGGAGTGTTTCAGTGGTCAGTGGCTCAAATGTCCCACAATTCCCTGCGGTTTCATCAGGACCAGCGCACCAGAATTCTGTCGCCGTCCTCCACCGAGTAAAACTCCAGCGGCTTCAGATCGTTATCGATCTCAATCTCTCTGCCGGACATCTATAGGATGGGATATCACATAACGTATTTTATTTCAGCTTCATTAGTGCAACTACAGGTACTAAAAAAAATAAACTAAAACTAGTACATGAAAATGAATAAAAACTATGCATACATATTAAAAAACCAAAACTAATAAAAATGACAAAAACACATCGATCTGAATCAAAAGATTCATGAACCCGCTCCGTAGTCCTGATCTGAATCAAAAGATTCATGAACCCGCTCCGTCGTCCCGATCTGAATCAAAAGATTCATGAACCCGCTCCGTAGTCCCGATCTGAATCAAAAGATTCATGAACCCGCTCCGTAGTCCCGATCTGAATCAAAAGATTCATGAACCCGCTCCGTAGTCCCGATCTGAATCAAAAGATTCATGAACCCGCTCCGTAGTCCCGATCTGAATCAAATGATTCGCGATCCATTTAGTGCTTTCGAAACAGTGAATCGTTCTGTGACGCAATGGTTTAACTGATTCCTCCACGGAATAAAAAAGGTAATTGCGACTTTTTTTTATCCCCCTCAGAATTCTGAGTTTACATTTCGTTTACATTTGAAAGATATTGCGACTTTTAATCTCAGAGCTCTTTTGAACTGCAAATCTGTAGTTCTGGCGTTTCTCCTCAGAATTGTGTTCATGCTTCTCCCATTTGCTCTTTTTACATTGACAATACACAACGATAATTTTTCAAATATTTATTACAATATACTGATAAATTGAACATTCACTTCAGTGGTATGAGAGACTGGATGCTTTCAACTGATTTCTATTGAACTGTCAGCAACTGAACTGCAGCTCAAACTATTTCAAATATAGTGAATGAAGCTACAAACTCATATTGAGTCATTTACGCTGGAACCGCTCCGATTGATTCAAATTCAAACTCGTGACTTCGATCACTGATTTCAAGCGATTCATTAGCAATAGTTAGTTCAAAAGAGCCATTTTCGAATTTCGACGTTGCTTGTAATGATTTTAAAAAGCACGTCTAGTGATGGGTGAAACTTTTTTGTGTGTGCAAGATACAAGTAATTATCTAAAATACAAGTACTTATCTAAAATACAAGTAATTACCATAGGCTTACAACAGTGATTTAACAAAACACGGTTACAAGATGGTTTTATGAGTACTCTCTTTAATATAAATTATTCAGACCCCACAGATTTGCAAACATAATTACTATGTTTATAGTTAAATTTCATGAATTGTCAAGAAAATCCTAGTCAAAAATCAAAATAATAAAAAAACTTGCAAAGCTTATTTTTGGCATCATGACATTTTTTAAATGACAATTAAGCACATTTAAGCAATTTTCAGTTGCCTTCTGTAACATAGGGAAAAAACAAATTTTTACAAATGTACTTTATAATTTAAACGTCACATGAAAGTACAGTTTTGCCGTACGATGTACTGAATTTTATTTGATTTGAATGTGAAAAACAAACATTGATACTGGGTTGAAATGTGACCTGTATATTTATGAGATTCATAAAGTGTCTTTCTGGAATATTTGCTCCAGGCACAGGGTTTGTGCAGCGAAATGGAGCGCCATCTGGTGGTGAGAGACTGTAATGATTCGCACAGACATCGAAGGATCCAAACGAAATACTAAATAAATAGATTATGCTTTATAAAGAGAGTTTGGCAATGCTTTGTTTTCTGGAGGAATAACGTTGCGTTATAATCGTAAACACAAATGTGAGATGATTTCTGATCCGTGGAGTGTTTCAGTGGTCAGTGGCTCAAATGTCCCACAATTCCCTGCGGTTTCATCAGGACCAGCGCACCAGAATTCTGTCGCCGTCCTCCACCGAGTAAAACTCCAGCGGCTTCAGATCGTTATCGATCTCAATCTCTCTGCCGGACATCTATAGGATGGGATATCACATAACGTATTTTATTTCAGCTTCATTAGTGCAACTACAGGTACTAAAAAAAATAAACTAAAACTAGTACATGAAAATGAATAAAAACTATGCATACATATTAAAAAACCAAAACTAATAAAAATGACAAAAACACATAAAATTACTATAACTAAAATTAACAAGCAAAACTAAAACTAAAACCATGAAAAAATTGTTACTTGAAATAAAATTAGATATACAAAAACAAACAAACTTATTTTGTCAGCTACTTTCTCATTTTCGTTTAGTTTAATTTGAAGTACTAAAATAACTCGAACTAATGAATAAAATAAATTAATAAAAAACTATATAGACATGTAAAACAAAAACTAGTAAAAATGACAAAAACAACAAAAGTATTCAAATTAAAGTGAAAACAGAAAATATAACAATAAAACAAAAACTAATAGTGTCTCAAATATATTAAGCAATGCACGTTTATCATAAAAAGATTTGTAAGAAATAAAAAATACAATCATCGTAGGGAGTACAAATTAAAGAATAAGTGAATTAAAACTAAAGTCCTGCTCTGTGATTATGGGTGTGTTTTACCTTCGAGCAGGTGTAGGAGAGCTTTAACTCCACTCCTGGTAATTTGAGCAGCCGATGCAAAAGCCCCTTCACCTTCTGAACGATCATCGAGCCTGAAAACAGCAGAAAACACCTCAAACATCCGCCTCGTCAGCGTTTCTAATGCGCGCTTTTACCTGGCAGCTTCTTCTCTATGGGCTTCCTCTCCGAATCCTCCGGACAGACGAACGTTATGGCTGAAATGAAAGCAGAGATGTTGAGAGACGTTCATATGGTGAGGGTTTTAATGGTCGGTATTGATGAGATGATGGAAGATTCGTACTTAATAATTGATTTTTTAGCGCAAATGGTTTCTGTTCTTTCAGCTCGCCCTCGTCTGGAGCGCCGTACTCTGAACAAACAAACAAACAAACAGTCAAAAGAGTGTTTTAACCAGATACAACAGAAATCCGTGACCAGCCAATCAGATCATATCAGATGTTTAATATGCAAATAAGCAGAACCAATGAGATTCCCCTGTGGGCGCAGCGCTGGACTCACTCTGGAGGAGCGCAAGGAATCGTGGGTGTTCGCTCATGAACTCTGTGTTGGGGTGATTCTTCTCCGGGTCACTGTGACCTCCAGCCTTCAGCCAATCCAATCCAAACATCTTACAGTAATCCAGCTCCGCACCCCTCCTCTCATCCGACAAAACCTGACAACAACACCGGATAATCTGTCGTTTGATTGAGAGTTTAGAGTGTTTGATCCAGTAAAAGCTCTTTTAGTGTACTTGTACAAACGTTCAGCTTCAGCTGCTGCTTCACGTGTCTTTTTTCTGTCAAATCTTGACTGATTTTTATCAAGTAAGCGTCAGAATAACTGCAGATAAATAATTTTTTTGAAAAATCAGTGCGTCTCAAATCTGATCATCAGGATCTTTTGAGGAGCGTTTGTTTGTATTCCCACTATATCAGACTATATCCCTCTCATAAATGACTTTTCTGGAGGGTAAAATCACAGATACCCATAAATCAGTGTTTGAGCGTCACCTGTCTCATGTCGAGCAGCTCCAGGCGGCTCAGTCGCGCGATGATGATCTGTCTCGCGGTCTCCAGGTTCTTTTCTCTCTGCAGCAGTGGGTTCCTCCTGCAGGACAGATGAAGCAGAGACGGCAGCTTCTCCAGCTCGTTCACCACACGCCACTGCACACAGACACACACACACACACACACACACACACACACACACACACTCACACACACACGCACAAACACACTCACACACACACGCACACACACACACACATTTCAGCTTATTATGTTTTAATAAGTACAGGTCAGAATAAGTATGTTGTCTCAGTTTTACATAAATATATCTGTTACGCTGAATGATGATGGAACGTTATTTCACCCATATTTTGACATTCTATTTTCACAAAAGTTACTTTAAAATAGACACTTACTTGCATTTAATATGCTTGCTGTGTATATAAAATCAGTTTTGTCAATTTAATTTGATGCAGACAGTAAACGGAGACGTCTTTCACATGATGTTTTTTTAGATTTACCTCTGAAATGTTGTTGTCGTCTAGGAAAAGTGTCTTCAGCGCAGGAAACAAAGCTGTCTTGTTACCTTCACAGCATGAAAATATTGTTTTTATTTATGTTCTGCATGTACAGTACACACACACATTATAAATATAAATATAAATATAAATATACAGCTTGTTCGGTGGTTTGAAACACTGGTACCTGCTGAAGCGTCACTGAACTGAATGACAGATAAACCGCTCCTGGACAGATTCAGCTTCTCCAAACTGAAGATTCAAACATTATTTCAGTTATGATACAAGATGTTCTGCATCTTCATTATCTGTTCATTCTTACCAGGGTAAATGTGAGATGTCCAGCACCGTCTCCTGGGCTATGTGGTTACTGGATAAATCCAGAACTTGTAATGTCTGCAGCACACACTCTGGTCTGGATAAACGAAAGCATGCTTGGTTCCTGTGACATGAGGAATATCTCTGCTCCGTGATGATGTGAATGTGATCCAGTGTTGTACCTCAGTAATTCTGTGATGTGATTGTCAGCGAGATAAAGCTCCTCTAACTGCTGCCACATGGGGGCGCAGTGGAGAACCTGCCAAAGACAGAGGGGTCAGAGGTCAGAGGTCAGAGCCGAAGCCACACTCACATACAGTACACAACACATCAAAAGTTTGGAGTAATTAACATTTATTAGTGTTCTCTTCAAGGCTGCATTTATTTGATCACAAGTATG